TTGACCAGCAATTGTACTTGGCGAATCGCGTCGTCGGAATATTTAATGGACATTGATGCTACGAGAGCAATGATACGCATTAATTCAATAAAATAGCGATGATAACAAGCCAATCTGAGTATCATGTATCATGACGGACAATAAGTTTTGTATCCACCCAATCATACCGACACTCCGCCTCACTTGTCACCACTGACAATTGTCTGACAATTCCTCACATATATCTATAATATCTATACACTATAAATTTATATATTATATTTATATTTATAATACGATATGATATGATGTGTGATGGATATAGATAGACGAAAAGTGTCACAATAGATAAGGGTGAAAAACTATCGCGGATAAAGAGACATCAACTCAGCAAAAAAAATCAATCAATCATTTAAAAATAAATAATAAATAATAAAAAAACTGTTCTCTTTAAATAATTTATTGTCTCAACGACTCAATCAGTTAGAAAAATTTATTTTTATATCGTTTTAGTCTTCATTATCTTTATCTCTCTCGATTGAGATGAAATGAAAGAAAAAAAAATTAATAATAATAATAAAAAAATGATTTAATGATATATATGGCACGTCTCAGTGGCACAATTTACAATTAAACTAACTGTTGGTTGTGTAATCATGACTCGCAAGCGTTCAAAGTCATTCTTAAAATATAAATCTAATAAAACTTTTGTGTTCTTTTTTTTAATTTTGATAATTGATAATAATTGAGATTTTATTATTTCAATTTCCTGATGTGGTTTTTGGAAGTAAGTGTTTAGTATAGTAAACTCTTCTCTGTAGACACTAAACGTGTCACGATAAAACGAAATGAGTCGAACGGAAATTTTTGTACAATGTACTTAGTAGCACGGGCTATAAATACAAAGAGAGCAAATATGTAAAAACAATAAACGGTAATCCGTGGGTTTAATAACACTATTTTTTTCGTATGATTATGTAACGGTAAGGAGATTAGAGTTAATTGTTTTTTGGATAATGTGAACAGTGAATGCTTTGCTTGTGATACTTCCGATTTAGCAACTGATATTTCCTCTATAATTTTCAGATGTCCTAATTCTGTCAATATAGATGTGTTGATTTGATGAAATTTTTTATTGAGTTATCGATTTCGCTATTGTTGGAATTAATATTAATATTGAGTATTATTTAATTAATTTTTTTAATTATATATTTATATTGTTAATGCGTTTAAAGTGGTTTATGAATTTATTATCCGGTTTTAATTATCTTGATAATTATTTCATTTTAAGTATCTATTTTAATCCTTGTTCCGTTAGTGGTAATCTGATAATTCATATTATAAATTTATTTCAATTCAATATTAATAATAATAATAATAATAATATTTTTTTAATTGTTCTTAAATTTTCATTGAATTTACTTAGTAACTTTCACTGATTTAGTAATTATATTACAGTAATTTACATTTAATCTCACCCATTGATTAAACGGTCTGTTTCAAAACGCGATATAGTGATGTCAATCATTGGATTGGAAATTGAGTTTATGATTAATGAAATTAGTTGTTAAAAATTAAAATCCGATTCTCGTAGAAAAATGAATGAAAAAAAAATAACAAATAATAAAAAAAATTTTTTTTTTTTTAATATTTTCAAAATGTTTTAATATTGTGTAACGCATAATAAAAACTATAAAAGGTCATACTCGCAAAAAAAAAAGTAGTCTACTATATTCATAACAACCGCGTATTCATTTATAATTATTGAGAACAACTTATGACCCTCAAATAATAAATGTAAATATATCGTGAAGTGAGAAAAGGTAAAAAGTAAAAAAATAAATATGTCTTACAGGATAAACAATGAAGATCCTTATAGAGCAATCTTAATGGCTGCACCAGTACTTGGAGTACCAGGCAAGAGAGCAGATAGTCACTTTGCTCATCGCCGACTAACCTTGCACTAAACTGCATCGTCCAATCTATCACGCGATAACAAAAGTTGCGGACGCACAGAGAGTGGCTTTTCAAAGACCCTGCATTGGCAGACTCAGTCGTGTGTCATCCATGCTGTAAATCTCCTATGTATCCTACTTGCTCCACTACTATTCTCCTATATTTTATTTTATTATCAGCGACATGGTTTTTCACACTTGCCCGTTAATTTTAATTCCTAAAACTAATAACAATTAATAGCTTAATTTATTCAGCTCGCTTATTTTTTTTCTTCTTCTTGCTCTTGTGTTATTAGCCGCCGGCTAATGAATTCTAATAAAGCGAATAAACATAATAATAATAATAATAATAATAATAATAATAATAATAATAATAATAATAATAATAATAATAAT